CCAGCATAAATCAATCTGCAAATTGTGTGGAAACTGCCAACGCACTCGTTCCTTTTTAGCGCAGCCCCTACTTTCATCAAACTTTAATTCATGTGGAATCCCTGTCACGTTTGTCGGGGGCCGTTGTAGTGTGCTGCTCTTCTGCTGAATTTAAAATGGACTGCCACTGTTCCTTCACCTATTCGGTCTATATGCATTGGTCTAACATATCTTTGTTTACCGTCGGGTCCAATTTCAGGAATCCGAAGCACATCATCTCTGCGTTCTACTGTTTTGCCTCATTCACCTGGAGCAACAGAAGTCACAACTTCTACCCATGGAATTTTGTCTAACACTATCGCCTCCTTACTCTGTAAGATTTGGGCTGACCATTAAGGACGTTCGGCGCTCTTTTAACAAAAAGCTGTCCTTGTAACTTATATTTATTCTATACCGTTTCCGCTGCATCCTTTTAGGAGTTGAACCATGGTGGTTCGGATGGCTTGAGCTGAAAATAACCCCTCTCTATGCGTCCGTTGCCCAAACATTCACTTGCACCAGAGGTTAAGCTCTAAATAAGCTCATTCTGTTGTTTAAATTTTAAGAACTCCACAAAAATTCCGATGTGTCCTTCTGCTCATGCTTATCTGCGACACTACTGCTCTAAGTTATTCTCACCGAGCGTGAAAAAAACACAAGGGAGTGCACTAATTTATGTTTGCTTATTCTGTCAATAACGCTTCTGGCCGTCATACCTTTGCTACCCCACTTGAAGGACAATTACCTTATGATATCCTTCACTAGTTGGGTTTAAAACACCTTCGAATGCCTCCAAATTATCCTCTTCTTTTCTCTCTTATAGCACGATTGCTGTAAATCAGCGAAGACCACCGTATTTCTCAGCTCACGATCGTGATCCCCCGAAATTTCGCTTCTACATTGTTTAAGCCACAATGCTGCGTGGACTTTCCTTTCAAGAAGTATACAATCTGTAAAGGCTGTCATGTGAATCGGGATTTTCAATATATTCATTCACAGTTATCCAAATAAATCACTAACGCATGAAAAGGATCCTTTTTACTCCAACAACCGATATCATTAAACAGACATGAAGGTGCGGTGCACTTTCGTCTATCCTGGAACATCAGCGTGATGTCATTGTGGTTCCCAACCAAACTCAATTCTTCGTCGTTGTTCTGCCGCAAGACCTGCATACTTTCAGTGCTGTTTACACTAGCTACTCCAAACAGCTGTTGGTTGTTTACGCCTGCGGGAGCTAATCCAGTGGAATTCCTGGCCTCAACTTTCTGTCTATCGAGAAGCCTCTGGAGTCCTGCCAGAGCATAAGACCTGAAGTCTTCGCTTGATGGCCCGCTTATTTTCAGATTTTAGTATGCACCAGAGACGAATTCCTCTTGCTTTGCTCGGGTATGTTCCCGTAGGAATAGTCGCCTGGAGTCGTTCCCGAGACGACCTAAAAAGTGAACTGCCCTTTTTTGCGATCAACAAAATATGCATCCGGGCGCTATGCATGGAAAGTCATATTGGTCATTCTTGTATTCTGTGAGCACAGTGGAACGTGCGTTCCTCCGGGGGTTTTATCAGAGGCTACGTCTTGTGTCATCCCAACATCCTATATTTGGTCAAAATTCTACTGGCCTGCACAATCATCTGTAATTCCGTATTATCATCCCTGGTTCAATACTGTGTGGAATTCGTTTGTATGATTAAAGCATCGGAAACCGTTAACAAATCGAGGTCTGTATTTCAGAACTAGCCATCATTACCTGTCTTATGTGCCTGACAGCACCACCACTGTTGAGAAAGGAAGAAAGGTTTGAGGTATACTGTGAACACCGAGCTGAATGAGCTCGTTCTCGCTGTTGGCACATTTTCAGCTTTCTGGAAAAGCTACAAAGTCAGTCAGTGTGTTGAGGAATTGTTCGTCTCCTTAAGGAGCCAACGGACATAGTGTGGAATATACCGATAGTACTCGAACCCTGTCGGTGTTTCATAACCTGAGAGATGAAAACCGACTAACATCCCCCTATCAAGGTTATCCGTTTTTCGTAATTGCGAACATTCACCTCACAATACCTAAATTTTAAAACATCCTTTGAAACAGCTGTTCACTACTTTCGTCAGTGCCGATCATGAGCGCACAGAAATTCCAATACCTCATTTTACTTGCCGAGAGGCTGCAAAACTCGAGTGCAACAGATGCAAACTGAACGCGAAAAATTCGACTTACGTCATCCATTTTTGGAAGACGGCCTCACTGCGTCCTACTTTGTGGATTGAGTGAAAGTTTTATCCTCAGATTTCACCTTCTATCTGTCATTCCTATCTTCAACTCATCCATTTTACCAAGGGACAGGCTTTGGACCCATACATAACTTTCTTTATGCCACATAGTCACTGAATCGGCTTGTGATCTCTCCTAACTACATCTGACAGGGAAACAACGTTCTCAGTAACACGACAGAAACGAAATGAATCGTTAGAATATGATTTTTCCTACCTAGCCCTCAAGTACATTATTTCCTGAAACGGTACTCAACCGTGGATTTGTTGGTGGTGGTTGCGGGATTTGTAGAATCCATGTTCACATTTTGAACAGTCGTTCTCCTGTCCTGGCGCAATTATTCTGTTGAGTCCACACCAATNGGAGCTTATTGCAATGCAGACCGTTGGACTTACCGAGGTTTGAACTCAGACATGTGACATCCGAAGAAAGCGTGTTACCACTACTCCACCAATGCACGCGGAACATACCTGAATTCTCAGGCGATGTGACACATCCTTTTGACTCCACTTAGTGCTGCATCACCCCGTTTTTATAAGTCCACATATGAACCCTTTCAAATGAAATAAGCCAACTGGACGCGCACGTCTCAAGGTTCTCTTATTTACTGTTTGATTTTGTCATGAATTTCCATCTCCGAATATTAGACGAGTCCAGACGATCCATTAAATGCCTTGATTGTGTCGACCCCTTGACCCAGCTGTCAGGACATCCCATTCAGGTAGTGCCACGATGAATTGAAGCCTTGTGGACAATTTTTGATTGGTTGCTGGCGGAGCGGGACACGAGCCCAGTGCTTCCCTCTTTTGGTGTGAACTCACCAGAATAATTGCATGAGGACAAGGGGACAACTGCTCAAGTGGGAGCGATGTGACCGTGAACCATGGAGTTCCTGCCTGGAATAACAAATTGTCATCAATCTATCACATGAATGGCACACGAAACTAAAAATAACCTGGCGGAATAATACAATGGTAACTATCTTCCTCCACTTCCAGCTACCTGCATACCACCGAATTTCCGTTCGACCATTGATTTCACGGGTGATAATTAGACAAAACTAGTTGTAATAATATGACAAACGTACCTCAACTACCTAAAACAATGATTACGTTGAAATCATTCTGCATTTCATACATTAGTTTATGTTGCACCTTTGTCAGACTTTCGCATTACGAACAGTTCCAAGACTTTGATTCATCAGTGATCACAAACACTCTGCAGGATTCGTGGCAGTGCCCGTCGCAGCGTCAACAAACGATCAGCGTGGTGGAATTATCCCAAATTACAGGGATCAGTGTAGGTAGCCACCCATATGTATAGAAGTTCCTGAAAAACCTCATTCTCGAATGATAGATGGAAAGTTGTCGGTTGTCCCAAGGTTTCATTCCAAAATCGCATACGAGGGTTCCGGAAGCTGATACCATTTAAAATTTCTGAAGATACGGTTAAACACAGTCATATTTTTGAGAAATACACTCATTTGCAAATCAATTTGGTTATCACGATAGACTCAACTGAATCTCTCGTTTATGATATTCTACAAATGAATGTGCTGCACACAGACAGCCTCATGTTTCAGCTGCCACGATATTCGAGAAATCGTAGTATATTTTCATGATGAAAACTACTCATAAGGTTGCTGAAAACTCATCGACAGCCCACGACCAGTTTCGCCCTTCTTGGGGACTGCGCCTAATTAATGAGCCCCAAGAAGGACGAAACCGATCGTGGGCTGTGGAAGAGTTTTCAGCAACCTTGTGAACAGTCAGATTTTACTTAATCGGTTAACCTCTATAAGGGTAGTCCCCACAGCCATTACAAATGGCCGATGGCACTGTGGCCTGGAAGAGTTTCAGCAACCTTGTGAACAGTCAGATTTTACTTAATCGGTTAACCTCTATAAGGGTAGTCCCCACAGCCATTACAAATGGCCGATGGCACTGTGGCCACTGAAAATTGTAGCGTATTGTTTGGCATGGGTACAACCAGACAAAATGGAACTTGGTGGGTCGCTGTTGTATCTTCCCACCACTAAGTCCTTCGCTGATTTAGGCTACTCAAAAACACCGCCTTTCCAACGTGACCCGTCTGGATCTGTATTTATCAGTTCACATCAACTTCTTACGGATGGATATGAATTCCTCTCTCATGCTTCCCGTCAGTCGACGGATCTTCCTGATGTTTGTATTTTTCAAACGCAGAGGACTTCGATACACTTGTTGGATGCAACTAGCCACTTTTATTTTGTAATGCACGCCTAGGTAACTTCCACTATGCGATACCGTACAGAATTTTTGAGAAACCGTGTACCACCCAACAAATTGTTTGCGAAATCTGAAACCGACCCAGTTTTGTTGCGGCAAATTTGATGCTTGAGACTAGTGCTCGAATGAGCAATAAAAGCAGGTGACTTTAGTAATGCGCTGTGTATGCTCAAAATGCCCTAAAATGGGATCTCAGAAACTTCACAGTAGTTAGGTTTTTCTCCAAATAGGTGAGACGGTTCCCGATTTTCATAAGTTTTGTCACGAAAACCTCATTCAGTCTGTACGATCAATTTGTAGTGAATCGTTAGGTCATCAAGACATTAAAGCTCATACTGACAAGTTTTAAATGATGTTTCATGTGCGGTACCACACGTCCATATCGCCGTTTGGTTCCCGTTGAACGCCCCAACTCACCTGTGAAATTTGAGTTTTACACAAGCGTTCTCAACATTCTTTAGATGCGCTTGTAAGAGTATACGAGATAATCTTCACTGGGTGATATTTCAATGTTTTGAACCCCTAGACACCTGCAAGAGATGTATGCAGATGCACCGTCCCGCTGAATCTCCATGGTGTTAGTCTTCCCTTGTCACCTGGGGCACAAAAGACGAGTAATCCATAGGATCACTGGCCACGTTGTACCTTCCACCATCACGGGACTGTGTAGCCACCCTTCCGCCACGTACATGACTGTACAGGTCACCGCCACTCGCTAGATCACGAGACTTGTATTTTTACCCACAAATCACGCTACAGAATCGTGACCAACTTGACTACACAGCTCACAGTCAAGCCCTAGATCCCAAGACTCGCATTCTTTCCCTCCACGCAAGGGTGACTCATCTGACATCAACTGTTTACCGACTGATAAGGTAGCAACAAGTCACTTGCTGACACCCACACACACGCAAACGTTCTTGTATATAGGATAATAGCACAGCACAGCAACACAACTCAACAGACTACGTCACCCGACTCGGAGCAGAGCCGCTCAGGCGCTTAACTCACGGATATTCAGGAATACCTGTGGCTGCTACAACAGCGAAGAAGACACGAAACCTGCATCCGGACTTGCAACAGGATTTATCAAACTGTACCTGCAAAACGATAAGTCCCTTGTTCGCATATATACCTGTTCTAATAACTTTACTCAACAGGCAGATATTGTTAGTGCGCCCCGTTTTCTCCTTCGTATAACTAATTTTCGGGTTCTAGTAGAGCGTTAACCATTGAAGATATATCACAACCGTTTGACCTGTGACAAAAGTGCTATCGTTTTAGGGCTAGGGTGTCGACCAAGCCGATCAACGGCGTGGGAAATTACGTCAACAATTAAGTGACATCAACCACGAAGTAATGAGAAGTATCGAGGGTCACAGCACAAATATCTAGTTCTGTGTGTGGCTCTTGGATGATGATAAGTGCAATAGTGCAACCAACCCTGAAGGATGAAATAACTGGCGGGACTAGTCGAGGGTTCACTCCCTTCTACCCAATTGAATATCACTCTCATTGGGAGTTATCTTCAGTGAAGTGTGTATAATAAAAGCAGAGTTATCGGTGTTTTGGTCACTGTACAAAGATATGAAAATATCATGATTCTGGCAGTGAGAGGGAGAGCATACCATGGTCAACTGTGAGATGAGATACGGCGCGCGACTTCATTTATGACGATCGGCCTGCATTTCGCGCAAGTGCTGTAGTTTATTCACAGCTTCTGTGTACTCGGCTTGTGCATTGTACCAGGAAGAGTAATAGGACTGCAAATAACTTAGCAGCTTGTTGTACTCATTCCAGGCTGAAAGTTGTTTCTTATTCCAAACAAAGTCACCGGTGCCATCCGCTCCACCGGTCTGCTCGAAAGTGACGTCTGCGGCGTTGACTGATGGTACTTCTTCGACGTACTTTGGAGGTTCTTTCCGTGGTAAAGTCTTCTGAGCTTTAATTACATCTTCAGATGGCTTGGATAAACGTGGTGGGACTAGCAATTCATCCAAATGCTTCAGCAAATGTTCCTCAAGCTCGTGCAATTTCTCTGTTGATTTCACGCGGTCGGCGGCAGCTTCAGATTTCTGGAAAAGCTATTGAATGGAAAAGACAAGTGAGCAAGACCAGGGTATTTTTAAATTAATGTATGACTAAGACGACAGAAACGCTGGTACATCTAAAACGCTTGGATGATCAGTACCTCCTGAATGTTAGTGAATAGGATATGAAAATATTCGCCTGGAAATCGTTAGTTCAACGGTTCGAATGTTACTCAGGCACTTATGAAGAGCGATCGCATGCGCCAGATACGGCCGTGAACGGATGCCAGCGCTAGCCTATATTGCCTGGCATTCGACGGAATAGATGTGGTCAGCAAACACTAAGTTACACTGGTCTCCCTTCGTACCTATTTCCAGAATTAGACAAATAACCCACATGGTCACGAAGCAGCGAGCAGCCAGCAATCAACACTAATGATACCATCAGAGAAAAAGTCAGTTCACTGCAGCTCTATCGCTAGCTTAGGGGGTGGTAACCTCTGAAATAACGAAGGACACCAAATATTAGTACGGTAAAGGATACACACAAAAATTGATGAGAATAGGGAGGCAGGCACATGGTAGTACACAATTTGAGTAGAACTGAAAGACTGCGACGAATGAACAGCAATGTATGCTCAGAAGGGTTTGTCCTAGCACAAACATTTCAGTACGATCACCTCACCCATAGACCGCTAACCTGAATGTCCACCAGCACAGAGGTCTTATGAAAACTCCGATGATCACAAATGGTCCAACATTCTTCAACACGTTAGTAAACGAATTGTTTATCAGAACGCTGGCAGTGATAAAACTGAGAACCAAGAATAACAACTGCTCATTTGATACTAACTATTCAAGTCACGTGTGGTTCACGATGAAGGTCCATTATGTGGAAATAAAGGTCTACTACTTGCAGTTCAAAAGAGTAATACAATGCGAATCAAAGCAGTCTTCAAACAGAGGTAAATTTATACACAAGATTCTACATCATTGTATTGATGAAAATGAAACGAACGGCGTACCAGAGACTGAAAACTACTGATGTAGTCCGAGAGGTCAGTGGCAAGCTTGAGGACGCTTTCTTTGCACGGACTAGCGTTTTGAAAGGTCGTGAGCTTATGACTGTCGTTACTCTTGTAGGCTCCTACTTGCTCCACATTTCGGGGGTTGAATTCCGTTTGCTGCTCACTGAGTCGCTTGGTTGGTCTCATCCGGGTCTTGCCTGGGTCAGGCGGTTTTTGACCCGGCTTACCTTTCAAACAAGATACCACAGTGACAAGACTGTCGAGATCCAACGGACAGTCTGGTGCCGCCAGATCGGCTGGAACCGGATCTGAAATGGATATACAAACAGGCTAATGAGTCTACCGTATGAAGTCATATGGCTTTAAAGTTATTTGTGTGCATGGACACAGCTCACGAGTGAGAATGATACGGTTAAACGTGATGGGACAACAATAAATTAGTTTGCTATTTTAAAACACTTCAACGTTGAACGAGGAAAAGAGGCTGGACATTTGAACGTTTTCATACAAGAGCCGAAATCACGAGTAAAATCGATTTGAAGGAACTCGTACAGCTGAGCGCGTCAGCTCGTGTGGGCTATGAACGATGAAAATATCTGAAAGTGAATTCAGATGGACCATGCTTTAGCGCACTTTGCTCCGTGTTCAGTTCGCTGAGGTTAAATAGTAAGGGTTGGCTAATCCAGTGAACTGGTATGAAGCTTATAGCTACCCAACCGAACAAAAATAGTGAGCTTCAAGGTCAGTGAACCCGTGGTCGCATGCTTCATATTACAAGGATCTCTCACATGAAAAGAATTCCGTGGAGGCCAAAGGAATACTATTACAGCACTCAACGCAACCTATCATTGCAGGGGCGCGCAAATTATAGAGTTATATGTAGTAAGCGTACTAACCGCAGAATGAAACAGTCTCGGTTTTCTAAATTTCTGGGTTTATCAAGTGGTCAGTCTCCTTTTCAAATAAGACGTGAGTCGATGGTTCACACATCCTTTCAACCAAAAATGATGTAAGTAATTCCTGGCAGAGAACAGTTGAAAAATTAAGTCCCAGAAAGTGGGGGGGGGGGGGCGAAACGTCTATTCTCAAGAGCAAATGTAGCAAAGGGACAGGCCTACTGAGTGGAATCAGGTGAAACGTCACCCAAAACGGTCTGAAATACGGTAAACAGACAGAGAGAGCAGCCTTGAAACTTGCACGAATAAGAGGAAGACGTGTGAACGTTCGGATATCAATTACGCACTTCATCAGGCACTCACCGGGGAGCTGACAAATCTTCGTCGCGCATTTGCTCTGCAAGCGTTGCAACAAACGTGTCTCGTCAGGTAGGTTTGCCACAACTAAAACAGAGGCACCGTAGCTTCCTACGAGGGGACAGAGAAGCGGTTAGATATGGGTACTGGATGTAATAGAACAAATATTCTTCGGATCTCTCTTTTCAATTGACGGATGAGTTCTGCTAGTCAAACTTCCCTCAAGCATAAAAATGTTTGTTCATTTGTTTGTTTAAATAGGTTGTTTCAGCTGAGTTCGGTTCGAACTCGGGCGACTGGCAACGACCCAGTTGTCTCGAAGTCCAAATCTTCGTGCGACAGAAGACAAACGTCAGCACTGAGCCAAAATTAGCGGAGCTCTAGTCTATGGCACTTAAACTATGGAAATTACGAATTCAAGAGCAAGTGCAACAAAAACAAGAACAGGAAAGCCCCGCGGATCATCGATTCATCGGTTGTCGTCATATGAAGCGAACCATAAGGAGGTAGGAAAAAATTTTCCACTCCGGGTTCGAACAGAAAAGACAGCCTCATGGGAGTAGGGAAGCTAATGACACTGAAAAGTAAGGAAGATTTGACTAATCGAACCACACTACCTCCGTGTGGCTAAATCGTTCAGCTGTAGCACCCGTTCGGTGCCTAACTGCCATGCCACCCGAAGGTTACACGAGGGCCGGGATACTGCCAGGTTGCCAAGTCTAGACAGGAGACGTCGAGGGGTGGCTAAATACTTGTCAAACATCTGCATGAACCAGGTGCTTAGTGAGCGCCTGGCCTATACAGGAAGCAGGATGGCACATATCCGCTGAGTCATAGATATATATATAACCGTACTCACAGTAGCAACGGTGAAAAAAACATGTATCCGAGGTGGGCAGAGGGGAGACAGAGGAGACGAGACAGACTCAGTGGCCAGGAAGCTAACTTATTGGTCAGAGCGCCCGCGGTTCAAACCCAACCTCGGCATCTCAGTCGCTCTTGTCTAGGCTTGGGCAACTTAACATTATCTCAGTCCTTGTGCCTCAGTGTGTCTCTCGGTGTGACATGGGTAGAGTAGCAGAGCAGCAAAAGGATGTTACGGCTGAATGACTATTTTATAACCGCATGAAAAGTGTTCGAGCAGCGTGAATGCGTGTGTTCGCGCCGGAGTACCACTATGGATCAGATTTATATCCTGATCTGTCGTTACTGAATCAGTCCCGGTAGCTCTCAAATCACACCAATAAATCGACCTCCAGAATGATAGACAGGACGATTGGATAGGTTATTCACATGAGGCCGGTCCCAAGTCACAGAAGTATGCAATCCCAGAATTCCGGACAAAATGTGAGGGCGATGATCAACGACGAGTGTATGTAAGTTGTTCTTGAGTCTGCAAGAATACGGACCTTCGGATTGTCAGCATACAGTAGAGTACGGTGTGGGTGTACTAATGCTAGCGTCACCGTTGGATCGTGAAGCTCTTGCCGTTGTTAGTTGGAATTAAATCGCAAAACTACGTTTCAGGTCTGCACTGTGTGTTCATAGTCGATAGACCACTAATGTCTGCATGATCTACGTTCTTTGCTAATCCTTGAGGATTTTACGAGATGATACTTCGTTGTACGCTCAATCCAACAACAGTCAATCATTTATAATAAGACCCTACTTCGAAACTGAGCATTATACGCATGATTGTAAATCGTATTTCAATCTAAATTCCATCTTATGATTGAAGTTAGTCGAGATGCATCGTACAGCAGCTTTAATCTTCTTGGGAATGGAAATCTCCCCATGATCCCATCAAATCTGCACAAAAAAGAGAACTTCTCCAAGGTCACATATACCTTCTGTGTGACAGGTTGTCACTCGAGGAGCTAGGCGACACGCGACCACGAAAAAGGACTGCATGTTTGAACGGTGAGCAGCGCTATGCTATGTCCCATCACACTGCTGATCAGGCACTCGTGGCTGAACGCTTCAGTCTCCAGCCACTAGCCGGGAGGTCACTAGAAATTCGTGAGATGCACGCTGCTGATGAATCCGAACACGTTTCGTGGCCCCCTTACCATCATCCAACGCTCTGGCAGCTGGACGATTACCAGTTAATAGAGTTTAAGGGCGGTAACGAAATTCAACTCGTGTACACGTTGCAATTCTGAAACTAAATGTATCCTATTCCTCAGTCCACTGCTTTGGGAAGGTGCATGGCAGTCCACATATAGGACTGATATGATCTAACAAACCGAGAATGACCGCAGAATGGAGAATTTTGGTCACATATAACTGGACAAAAACCCAAGAAGTAATATAACCATAATTCAAACAAGCATAAGTGTGGCGAACTGAAACCTAAGTAGTGGTAGAAACAGCAGAGCTCGATTTATGTCTGGGTGACGCCAACAAGACAACACGGTTAATCAACGATAGACATAAAACTCGAAATGCTGAAGTGAAGCACAAATCAGCCTATCTAGCAACCATTACTCACCGAATCGACCGGCTCTACCAACACGATGCACGTAGATCTCATGTTCCCACGGTACTTCCAAACTGATCACAAGATTTACATTCTCTGCATCAATCCCCCTAGAAGTCTGAAAGGTAAAGTGATTTGGACGTCATTAAATATCCACAAGAAACAAATACTTCTCTCGATCGCTAAAGCAAAACAACCGGTACGTAATAAAAGCGAAAGAGAGCTTTCAAGGGTTGCCATAATCTTCATATTCCCTCCTCATATTGAATACAAACTAGCCTTTAAATATGTGTTGTATTTTGCATAAAAAGAGCGGGTGGAATGATAACACGAGTTTCCAACAGCACGTATTCCAGAAAGATATTCTACAACATGTGACATTGATCAAAATCATTAGAGAAGTGACATGATACTTATGCATATGTAAAATAGTCGTGCCGTTTTTTGTGCGATACAGCATTGCTTTCAAGTTCAGGTATGTTTCACTCAATTTAGAACTCCTATTCTTTAGTTCCACTAGAGAGAACTATGACTGTCCCTTACTACCGTGACTATCGTATAGTAACCTTTCAGGAGAAAACATTACCCAGGATGGTCAAAGATTGTTCGCTTCTTTGAAACAACCCGTCATAAAGGCAACTTCAGCACATCAGCGTCCCCGCTTGTAACAAATATTCTTCACCAGAGTAAGTGGGATACTGAGCACTAATCACACAAATATGAGTGTAACCATAAATGGCTGTCTCTGGGCTAGTGGGTATTTCATGCAGCCTGAAATCTAGCGATTTTTATGCCTGCACAACAAAACGAAGTTGGGGTTTACGGAGGAACCAATGGTGAAAATCGTGAACAGTTTTAGTCAGTAAGACCAAGTGAACAATATCATGAAAAAAAGACAAGTTGGAAGGGGAGTGCAGAATGGTGAAATGAACAGTTTTAGTCAGTAAGACCAAGTGAACAATATCATGAAAAAAAGACAAGTTGGAAGGGGAGTGCAGAATTATCACTCACAGATAGTGGATTTACACGCCAACCAGGATGTCTGCTACTTGTTCAAAAGGATTCAGTTGAGTTGTTCGTTAGCACCCATGTCACTCCATTTAGATACTGCTTTGGCAGGGAAGCCTAACTGCAAGGCAGTGGTAGCGGTCTCACTAGTCTAAACCTGGAGGACCAAGAGATTGTGTTAGCCAGACTTCTATCCATTAACCAAGCTGGCAGGGGAGGCTCTGCGAGTGCCACATGTGCACTTTCCCGTATAAAATATGTCTTTGGTAAGGAAATCTGCCTACACAAGGCACAAGTTCAAGAACAAACACACATCAGTTTTACCATGAGTTTCAAACAGTACACATAGCCGGGTACTCACCAAATCAGTGGAAACGAGAACACGACAATGGAAAGCTCTGAGACGGCTAAAGGCCCGAAACCGCTCCTCCTGATCCAGTGAGCTAGAAATGTAGCTCACGGGCCAGCCACGAGAATGCAGGGCATTGCACAGATCTTGGGCACTGCGAAAGATGGGGGAACAAGTCATTACAGGTTGATGAGCAAGCAGTGTTTGTTATGCTGATAACAGAAACATACCTGCTATGAAAATTAGAGAAGATGAGACACTGCTGAAATTCCACCGAACTAAGAAGCTTGCACAGGAACGCCACTTTGCACGAGAAGACAGAAGCTGGAGACCGATCGGCAGGCTCGATCAGACAGAAGAATTGCCGTACACCTGAGGAATAAGGAACGGGACACGATCAGAGTTCACCATACACAGTTGAGAAGATGCGATAGAACTGTGATCGCTGGAGTCAACNCACGGTTAATCAACGATAGACATAAAACTCGAAATGCTGAAGTGAAGCACAAATCAGCCTATCTAGCAACCATTACTCACCGAATCGACCGGCTCTACCAACACGATGCACGTAGATCTCATGTTCCCACGGTACTTCCAAACTGATCACAAGATTTACATTCTCTGCATCAATCCCCCTAGAAGTCTGAAAGGTAAAGTGATTTGGACGTCATTAAATATCCACAAGAAACAAATACTTCTCTCGATCGCTAAAGCAAAACAACCGGTACGTAATAAAAGCGAAAGAGAGCTTTCAAGGGTTGCCATAATCTTCATATTCCCTCCTCATATTGAATACAAACTAGCCTTTAAATATGTGTTGTATTTTGCATAAAAAGAGCGGGTGGAATGATAACACGAGTTTCCAACAGCACGTATTCCAGAAAGATATTCTACAACATGTGACATTGATCAAAATCATTAGAGAAGTGACATGATACTTATGCATATGTAAAATAGTCGTGCCGTTTTTTGTGCGATACAGCATTGCTTTCAAGTTCAGGTATGTTTCACTCAATTTAGAACTCCTATTCTTTAGTTCCACTAGAGAGAACTATGACTGTCCCTTACTACCGTGACTATCGTATAGTAACCTTTCAGGAGAAAACATTACCCAGGATGGTCAAAGATTGTTCGCTTCTTTGAAACAACCCGTCATAAAGGCAACTTCAGCACATCAGCGTCCCCGCTTGTAACAAATATTCTTCACCAGAGTAAGTGGGATACTGAGCACTAATCACACAAATATGAGTGTAACCATAAATGGCTGTCTCTGGGCTAGTGGGTATTTCATGCAGCCTGAAATCTAGCGATTTTTATGCCTGCACAACAAAACGAAGTTGGGGTTTACGGAGGAACCAATGGTGAAAATCGTGAACAGTTTTAGTCAGTAAGACCAAGTGAACAATATCATGAAAAAAAGACAAGTTGGAAGGGGAGTGCAGAATTATCACATTGGGATAGTGGATTTACACGCCAACCAGGATGTCTGCTACTTGTTCAAAAGGATTCAGTTGAGTTGTTCGTTAGCACCCATGTCACTCCATTTAGATACTGCTTTGGCAGGGAAGCCTAACTGCAAGGCAGTGGTAGCGGTCTCACTAGTCTAAACCTGGAGGACCAAGAGATTGTGTTAGCCAGACTTCTATCCATTAACCAAGCTGGCAGGGGAGGCTCTGCGAGTGCCACATGTGCACTTTCCCGTATAAAATATGTCTTTGGTAAGGAAATCTGCCTACACAAGGCACAAGTTCAAGAACAAACACACATCAGTTTTACCATGAGTTTCAAACAGTACACATAGCCGGGTACTCACCAAATCAGTGGAAACGAGAACACGACAATGGAAAGCTCTGAGACGGCTAAAGGCCCGAAACCGCTCCTCCTGATCCAGTGAGCTAGAAATGTAGCTCACGGGCCAGCCACGAGAATGCAGGGCATTGCACAGATCTTGGGCACTGCGAAAGATGGGGGAACAAGTCATTACAGGTTGATGAGCAAGCAGTGTTTGTTATGCTGATAACAGAAACATACCTGCTATGAAAATTAGAGAAGATGAGACACTGCTGAAATTCCACCGAACTAAGAAGCTTGCACAGGAACGCCACTTTGCACGAGAAGACAGAAGCTGGAGACCGATCGGCAGGCTCGATCAGACAGAAGAATTGCCGTACACCTGAGGAATAAGGAACGGGACACGATCAGAGTTCACCATACACAGTTGAGAAGATGCGATAGAACTGTGATCGCTGGAGTCAACGGGAATATGAGATGGTTAGCTGTGAAAGAATCTGGTTCACTTACAAAACGATATTCACCAATGTGTCAAGAATGAACTCACCAACAAGGGCTGGGTCGTGTGATGTCAATCGAACCAATGCCGGATCGTTCATATAGCGTTGCAAGTGTTCTTCAGCCAGATAATCTGAATACGTAGCAGACAATGCAATCACTTGTTTGTTTTGGGGTAAGCTCCACCAAATGTAGTTCACATCCGCAGGAAACGCATTATTGGCACTCCCTCCGGTAATTGCTGCTTCTGCCCCACCGGCCAAGAGTAAATCTGCCTCGTCGAGCACAAGGTGGCGAACCTGATCCACTGGCATGTAGCTAGTTTCTATGAGATAGCGCACTCGTCCAGGTGTACCGATTGCGACGTGACAATGCTGAAGGCGTCGAAGGTCGTCAGCCAGTGGCAAACCTATGGTTGTTCAAGAAAAAGTTGATTTGGTTTTTGTGATTTATCTGATAGGGAAAAATAGGCTTATGTAGCTCACATGACACCGCAATCAAACACACCTCCAACGAACAACTGACACTTGAGTCCTGCGATGTGCGCTCCCAGACGTTGAAAGACAATCTGAGTCTGTAGGGCAATTTCCCGAGTTGGACATAAGACAAGGGCTTGTAATGTGGGACTTTGGGTATTGATTGATTCCAGCAATACGACCACAAAAACAACGGTCTTTCCAGTTCCGGATTTGGCCTACAAATGCAAAGGAAAACGCGATCCAGTATCAGTTCGTCCAAGAAAGAACAAACATTGTGATCTTCCAACCGAGAGCACTCAGCAGCGGACTTCTACGGACACACTATTTACAAACAAAAGATACTACTCAGAAATGTTGGTCGAAGGAGAACAAAAATTGGGATTAACCATCCATCAGCTACTTGATACCGCGGTAGGCCGAAATCACATGTCTCGTCTCGTCCAGATATGTTTCTATGGGTGGCTTCAGAAAGGTGTGAGTACGATTATAGTACAAAACCTGAAAGGATTCAAAGCACTTCATTGTCTTACGGGAGCAGCCTTTCTAACCTTGCGCAATCCACACGAAAGCAGGGAGGTAGTGCACTCGAGTTTTGGTCTTGTAAGACTTCACCAGTGGTATTTCTTCACCATCGTGCTGCGGGTGTAGTTCCGGATGTGTGGTATGCGTGGTGAGTGTTTGCACTACACCACCAGAGAACGACGGAAGCGACTAAATTACCAAATTTGCACAGGCGATTATGCCTGCACTTTTTGGGATGCGATTAGCTTGTCTTACGCCTCGAATGACGATACCGTAATCGTCTTGATTACATAGATTGGTTGATCAGCCTGTCAGGAACTCCCGGCCAGTTGGAGTCATGAGCGCATGTGACCTGTCGAAAGATCTGACCTGAACGCTTGTGAGTAGTTGTGGAATCTGTATCTGTATCGTTCTTGTGTGTTGTTAAATTGACAAGAACGTTTGAACTTTCAGCAGCGATTGGTCAGATTTGATAAACCAGGAGAGCCCAGGTTGCGGTAGTGATACGAGGCTGGTTGCGCATGTCAGAGGTATGAAACGCAAAGCCCGACAGAGGCAAGGATATGTAGTGCTGATGAACTCTGGTGAGTTCAGTCAGTTCAGTTCAGCAGTTTTCACCTATTTGGTGTGAAGCAACCAAAAAATTGCAGCAAAGTAGAAAGAGGACTGCGGCACGTTAATGTAGATTCTACAAATCCCGCAGCTGCTCACAACGAATCACAGACACACAATTGCCAATATTAGCTTCTTCATGCAACAGTTTTTGATGCGGTCTTTGTTTGAATATGACTGAGTATCATAAAAATTTTCTCACCTACAGCGGCTGAAACGAAGAGAAATTATGTACATAAGTTTGCTCCATCATACTGATGTAATCGTATGTAGTATCCCACCTTCAAGAGATCCAAAACTTTCCTCAATAGAGGTGTTTCGTCGTGGAAGGACGATCGATAAGAACCACATCGAATGTGTTGTGAAATGGCGAAAATCGGTCTGTATTAGGAGGCCTTTCAAACGATTTCGAGATGGCGGGATAAAATCAATGGTCACTACTCCGGATAGGTCCATGATTCACACACACTACAGAAACATGAAAAAGCTGTTTGATGGATGTCAGGCCCGATCATCGAAACCACCAGGTACTAGAGTTTCTTCAACCTGGTGAAACTTAACAGGAACTTATAAAAACGAGAAGCCACCACGAAAACACAGTTTCATACAACGAACCAAACGATCATGATCATTGGGGACCATGTTGTTATCATCCTATTCTTCCGAAGGTCAATTCTACCGATAAATATCTCAAAGAATGGTGCTGTGTGCATATTTAGGGCTAAAATTCCAACTAAACCAGATCAGGGTCGGTCAAGAATTTCATCGGCGTGAGAGTTGAGTGTACCAGCCGTACTCATGAAGTTAACTCTGAAGAGATAGCTTCCTGATGAATCCTGGACGAAATGGCCCAAGTGATTAAAGCGCGAATTTACTGACCGGAAAGTCCGTGGTTCGAAACCGACCACTGCATCTCGACTTCCCCTGTCTAGGCTTGAGCAATCTGGCTGTATCCCAGCCCTCGTGCAACCTTCGGGTGGCATGGCAGTTGGGCACCGGGTGCTACAGATGAACGACTGCGGAACCTATCGCGAGTTTCCACCTTGGAAAGCAAGCCAGCCATTCGAGAAATCAGAATCAAAGGTGTGAAACATGGCTCTCATACCCACCCCTGGCAAGACGAAACAAATGACTGAGGAAATAAGCTAGTATTTCCGAAGGTATTTCAACAAAGAGCGTTTCTCATCGTCAATAATCTACACCCAAGTTGTTCTGACAACCAGCCTTATGTTTAAAATCTTCCTGGATATTTCCAGATGTACAAAAATCTTGCGTGCAAGGGAGGCTGAAGTATTCTGAAAATTCATCATAGGTTTTCGAATTCTCTTGGGAGGTTAAAATGCTTAGTTTGAATAAAACGGAGTAAAATCCCCATTGGTATGGTAGCCTGATACCAAGACGGCTTTAGATTGCGCCGGACACGATTTCTCGGACTAGATTTTTTCAGTTGTGATTAAAAACCGATTGACTGGATCAAATACTTCGACATGTTAGTGGACTCGGCTTCACATGGCGATCAGTCTGATGTGTAAGACTTGACCACTACATGTTTTAGTCACACAACCCTTCGGTGCGAAACCTCTTCCTTCTACAGAAGAACGTACGGAAAAGGACCACTTTTCACAGTGGTGTTCCTCATAATGCAATATGATCCCTCAACAAACAGCCACTCTCCGGTGGAGGACAAATGGCTTAAACTCCCGTGTTGGTCCCTCTGGTTGGACTAATTTACACTTTTCGGCATTACGGAACCAAATATGGTTCCTAAACGCAAACGCAAATAGTTATCTGACATAAAAAACCTGCAAGACTGAGATTGAAGTGAAACCGAAATGAAGGCAACATAACAATCAGATTCGGTAGTGAGTTTCTGACAGTACAATCCATACTCGAGTTGTGGATAAGGCTGTCACAAAATTGACAATCGAAACAAAGATACTGACGCCGGAAGTTGGTGCACAATGGATGGATGTTGAAAGTAGGTTATGAAGACGGATCGAGATCTACAGGTAACCCGCATCGAATTCCGACCTAATCACCGGAGACAGCAACAACAGTGTTGACATTGGTGCTTCTCTACCGAACAACCATTAAGTACATCTGATGCTATGTAAAGCCTTAGAGTGGAAAAATGAGGGGGAAAGGAGTGTGTGAAGGAGAGGATCAAGTGCCGATTTAAATCAAGCATTCTGAGGAGCATGTACTTTGAAGCGCTCATTCAATCTGGAAAGAAACTAACAGCACGGACGTCACTGATATCGATCAACCGCCATTTCTTTCAGCACAGGTGGGGTCATGGGAACCTTGTCCGAAAAATTGTACCACACGAACAACACTCAAACTCCTGAAGATGTCGGCACCATGTGACGAGCAGATGCTGCACGCAAAACCGATGCATGACGAATGGAGTCATCAGTCCTAAGTGCTGGGCCTACAAGGAGAGAGTTATTAATGGAGTGGGAAGAGGGGGAAGAAAAAGTGTGTGAAGGAGAAAGAAGGGAGGCGTCAGCAGTAGCCTGTTTTCGCTTACCCGCCCTGCTGTATGCAGCAATGAAGGCGACCCGGCTGATGGCACCACGCGACGGCCGATGTCGCATGAGTTTATTTGTGTATGTGCAATTCATGGTTGTACGTGGGCTGGGATACTGCCAGGGCGCCCACACCTAGAAAGGAGGACGATTAAGGTCCTCAACCAAAGCCTTTGGCTCAAAAGCCTAACCGCAAGGCAGCGGTGTTTGGCGGGAAATGCAAATGCATTACCATTTCTACGGAACAAGTCGCCACATGTTCCAACCCCCAACCTGGAGGGCCAGGAGACTGTGTTCGTCAGACCTCTAACCATCGACCAACCTGGTGTGAGAGACTCTGTGAGTGTCGCGGGACACTCTTCAGTATAGCTCAATGGATCGCTGAGGTGCGCAAACCGTCACACCACGGTAAGGTCCAGTCTGTTCCTGACAAAACGCTTGGGTGCTGTCGGTGCTACTCGCCTTCCAGGGTGGGGACCGCGTGATCCTCACTGTGCCTGGTTGGAGACACTACAAGATATGGCTGCCAACCGATGTCAGTGGCGTTCTTGTTGTCAGTTTCTATCCCGATTGCCTGAGTGAATGTCTGGAGGTGTAGGCACCCATTCAATCTGGAAAGAAACTAACAGCACGGACGTCACTGATATCGATCAACCGCCATTTCTTTCAGCACAGGTGGGGTCATGGGAACCTTGTCCGAAAAATTGTACCACACGAACAACACTCAAACTCCTCGTAATCTGATTCTATCGAGTCATACGTTGTCCACCTCATGATTTCTGCCATCCCTGAGGAGACACGGAGAACAACATTAGTCTTGGTAGACGGTATTTCAACAGGTATAGAACATGGTCGAACTGTCGTGGTCGATGGTCCTGGATGTTTCTGCGATTGAATTACCTTCTGCAGGAGCAAATACCCGTTTTCTAATCGTCCGGTTACCAATCCGCTGAAGCCATCCAAAATCAGCAACGCTTTTAAGGCATTGGTGGTCAACAACCTGAAGACGCCTCACACCGTCTTTCCGCAGAGGCCACCTCTCACAACCAAAGTGCAACACTACCCTTATTGTAGCCTGGTACACGCGACCATTAAAACCCAGTGACATGACTTTTTGATTCCACAAGTGACGCAAATAAGTAAACGTGATTCGAGCCATTGAGGTCATTGTACTGAATTCACTAGACACACTTCCGTAATACAACTGCCGAGTTATGTAAAATGCTACACAACCTCCAGTGATTATTGAATTGTAATCGGTATGTTCACGTTCTGGAGCACGAAGATGCAAGGCGCATACCGAAAGATGATGTGACGGTGGTCAGTCTACTCAAAGATGAGGGCGATATCATTTGCGTAATCCAGATCGACAAGGCTCTCATCAGCCAAGATCTGAACAATGAGGCTTCGAACACCTTCCAGCATTAGCTTCATCATTTCATCAGTGACGAAGTTGAACGAGAATGGAGATAGTAGACATCCTTGTCGGACACCACGTTTTGTAGGGAAGGTTTTGGAAAGCTAACCCACCCAGAAGTATGTGAGTATAGGGATCGGATTATGTTCACAAAATTCTGGGGCAAACCCTGACCGACTGATAGAATCAAACACAGCCTTGAAGTCAAATAACATCAAGATTGGGGGTCATTTGTAAATATGGTGTCGCGGTGACACTTGACGGGGTATGAAGATGTGGTCGAGGAAGCACATACCGACTTAATTAAAGGCCATCAGATAGGTCTAGCCCTCATCAAAGCAAATAAAGATAACAAGTTGAGGATAGGGTAGGGAGTGAACTGAAATCTACAGTCCATCAAGTTATGACCGATGGACTATTCAATGCCTCAACAACGATCAAGTGATTAATTGATTAATTCGAGACGTAAATCGCTGAAACAGCGCGGAAACTGGGCACTACTATGAATTTCTATGGTAAATAGCGATTAAACATGCAAACGGAAATGTACTGTTACCACGGTTTTCGGTGCACGTCATTACTCGATGTAAGAGCTTCCCAGGATGGTCGTTGGTTTGCTCGTTGAGTTAGACAAACTCAACGACCATCTACCTACTCAGGAACAGTTACGTGGATAGCAACGACGGTAGCGAAGCAGACAGACAGACCCATTGATAACTGCTTCGACGCTGGCTTCTAAGCGTAGAATAGATTCAAAAGAAATGGACCGAATTAAGACTTCAAACCACACCTGAACAATTAGATCAAGTCCCATACGACCGAGGGGGATAGCTTTGACCTGAACCGGCGACGGTCGAGAGAAACCGTTATCTGTTAGTCCCCGGAGTACAAGTGGTGCCACATGGAGGTCCGAGAAACGAACAGAAGAGACGGATTTGGTCGGCTGTGTCGAGATATCTCCAGATTCATTGGGCAGAAGGATATCAGTCGTTCGTTTCTTTTCGCTATCCAGTTCATGAGCAATGGAAAGTCCCGTGAGTTCAGCGTCACACTTTAACAGAGGCATGCCGAAGTTTGCCGATTCTGTACACTCCATTGAACAACGCTAAAATAAAAAATAGGTAAACTAAATCATGTTTGTGAAAACAAATGGTAAACTTATCAAGTGTCCAGCACCATACAGGCGAGAGACGTTTAGATCGTCAATTTAAAGCATCAAGAGAAGGCTAATGAAATCCTATTCACACTCCACCTAACGGCCCTCTTTTCCCAGTACGGCCGCAATAGTGTGTGCTATAACTGCAGCCGGCACGATGTTGCACAGTAGGCTCTAAAACTTCAGAACCCTTACTAGTAAGGTTGTGCCTATTTGGAGTTTGAATCAGATTAGGAATCCCACTTCCCCTTCTGTGATTGCATTGTACGACTTGGTACTATCATTAATATACGACTCCCTTCTATAGCGACCCTTTATTAGACAACCTCTACTCCAACACGGCTGGAGAGTTCATAGTCGAATTTCCTCCCCGTGCTTCCCTATCAAAATGGCCCTTCCCGAGTCTGACGTGTCTGCTAGTGCGGCTTCTATGGGCTTTTTGTCTGAGATACGGTGGGCCGATGTCCACAATAGTCTGTTGTGCGTTGTCCGACAATAAATGACAGATAAAGAGCAGCGCACTGTGAGCTAAAATGTAATGCATGTCATTGAGTAACCAAGGTACTCCTTCAATACAACGTCGTAAATATGCAACCTAATTCGGTAAAATTGGAGTGACAATAATTCGGGGGAGCTTTGTGTACGAGAAACACGAGATCTCACGAGTAATAGCGTGTAAGACAGACGAATCACTAGAAGAGGAACACTGTATCGTAATCGAGAGGAATACTGTATTCATATCCTCTGAAAGGCGAGCAGTCCAATATACTACTATGTGCCTAGAAAAACGATTATGTCTCGGCTCACATAACAACCCGATGTCCCAAGCTAGCGGTTTAAAACCGAACTTCAAATGATGTAAGCACCTCAGGTTCGGCACATTGGATTATTCATCATCCTGCATATTATATCACCCGAAAAATCAAGGAAGATGGTGTGATTCCAACAGCAGTTCCGCACTGTGCAAGTGTCAACTGGTCTCACTGCGGGGATAGGTTAGTCTGCTATCCTGCGAGGTGGAGTAACACAATAGTTATAAAAGATTGTTCAGCTGTAAGTCTATCTTCCATACCACCACATAAAGGAAACGCGATGGTTAAGATACTACGAGGTGATCCAAGCCTAAACGGGAGCAGCTGAGATGCTAGGGTTGGGTTGGAACCACGGGCTTTCCAGTCAGTAGGTTTGCGCCCAAACCAATAAGCTAGTTCGGGGTTGGCGGAATCTCTTGTTCGATGATCCACACTGTTCGGTGAAGGATGCAAATATACAGCTTGACACCCATGAAAGTCGGATGCATTTTCGAAAGAGATATGGACCCATATCCAGGCATTAATCTCGTTTCACGGCAGGGCTTAGAATCCACCATGAAACACCAATTTATCCCGTCTGTGAGCCTTTATTAGGCCTAAGCATGTGGCACTTTGACTGATAACCATGCACAGATAAACGGAAGTTGTTGACCCGATGCCCCAGGGTCATCCACCTAGACACACATTTATTCACCACTCAAGTTACGTGTATCGCGGTTAATAAAGACATTTGCAGTGGTACCTTCCGCACAACCTTCAGTCTTCTACCAACGCCCAGTCCTATTCTCCGTCTTACAGAGAAACTGATGTGGACATGAGCTGAAAAATTCGTTCAGGACTCATAATGCCTGAAAATCAGGGCTATATGCAATAATTTCAGCAAGGGAATTATGTGAACTCAAATAAAACTTCAGGGAGCATCAGAAACAGTTATTTATGGCTACACTTTGAATTGAAAATATTTTCAAACCTTAAGAAATTGACCACAATTCACTTGCAATTGGACTGAAATCATTGTCTTCGGATGGCACGTGTTGGAAAGTGAGACCAGCCAAACAATCGTTGCTACGATGTGACATAAGTGATCGAGGAAAACCGAGAGCACTGGTGATAAGCTGGGACGAAAGCTCATGTTGTCCCGACAAAAACACCAGACAATGCGATTCATTATCTAAAAACAAAGCCAGAATGTCTAGATGAAAAGACGCCCATTCGCGCCGGAACAAACGGGGAAGGGTGCCCAGTGTTTGTTGCTGAATGGACTCAGTGAACAATTAGCTAAATACACCCATGTGCGAGTTAATTTGGTGTTAGCAGGAGACTCAAATGAATCTCTCGATTGCGATATTCTTCAATTAATTGTGCTGAACAAAGGTTAACTCAGTTTCAGAGATATCGAAGCACTTTTTCACGGTACAATAAACTACTCATAAGGTTGTTGACTGGTAACATGGAAGACAGCATGGATGCATTAAAGGATGCTGTTGCCCAAACAAACTTTAGTTAAAAACTCCCGCCGCTTGACTCTATAGCGATCCAAGCTGTCAAACTGGAGTGCAAGATAAAAAAACTCCATGGATAAGTATGGTAAGGAAAATGGAAGCATGGAGAGCAAGCTTTCCGAAAATGTTCCCGATTTCAGTGGGCTTTGCTTCTTGGGTGAATAACCCAGTAGTCTGTGAGGTCAAACTGTACGGCGCTATAATAAAAATGACAACAATGAAAACAGATTTTTGTACCTTCCATGATGAAAGAATTAACAATCACTCCGGCAACGTACAGTTTAAAGGGAACCCTCGCGGTAAACAACACCCTCAAGGAAGCATATCAAGGGGAGGGACGATCTATTCGGAGTGAACCCTATAGTAAGAACTCAGAGATATTCTTGCTACTCAAAATGGGAGTGGTGTATCTAGAAAACCATACCACGGACTTTCAACTGAAAGCTAAGTCAGAGTCAATCGCATGATCGCAACTGTGTGACCGATGGCGTCTCGTCTGTGTGCAAGGAAACCACATCGCTCAACAACCGCCTAGGGTGAACTCTTCTGAAAGACAGTCAAGCTTTACACCAGATGTGCCACGTTGATTGCTTTCAACCGATGCTCCTTGACGAATCGCACAATATTAACTTAAAAATCTCCTGTGTACTTGAAATATACTTGTTCCAAAAGTACCACGTATCCTCAAGGAGGAACTAACAAATACCAAGTTAACAGCCTGTAACTGCTACACAAAAGGTCACGTGACCGCTTCTATCTAAGTCTACCTACCTCGCTGAGGTTTCTATGAACCATCCACGTTCGTCCTAATAACGGTGGCATCCACTACATCTTGATCCCAGAGTCACCATCATTTCTAATAAGGGCCATAGACACACCAGGAAGGCATCGACAACGCAACTAGATTCCAGTACAAGGTCAAGAAAGTAGGATGAAAAAGATAGTATATTCTCGCAGAAAACATGGCGATGACGTGTGTATACATAGGGAGGAAAATGTGACAAAGGTCGTGATGCGCATGGATATTCTAAAAGGGTGTAAAGACCAGGGAGTAGAATATACCTCCAACGGCAAGGATGTCGTCGGGTTGCGCTTGAAAAAAATGACAAACGAACAAAAATAATTAGAGGGGGTTGGGATAGGATAACGGTGATAGTTTAACAGAAAGAGAACAGGAGGGCTGTACAGTACCAGAGGGAGAAAATGGGAGAGAGGCTAGCCAGTGAGCTGCGTACCAAGTCCCAAATGCTCCAACATCGTGTCTTCTGCATTACCGGAAGAAACTGCTGTTCCAAGCACGGAGTCCAACGAATTGTCTCGAGCGTTCGAGGCGGTAGTTGTTTTGGCTATCAGTCGCATGGCATTCGTATGTTGCGTGGTTACGGGTTGCGTCTGAATTTGATTAAACTGCTGTTGCTGCTGCAGTGGAGGTGCGTAGCGCCAAATGCAAACGAGGTTATTGTCCGTAACGGCGGCCAGGTAATACCCGTCCGAACTCATCTCAACAGAGTTTACAACCGGGTTTCGAAAGCCCGAAGTAATGCTTTCCTTGAGCTGTTGATCTTCATCTCGATTGCCCTGGACAGAACACTCGGGCCATTCCAAGATCTAAAAGGTAAGAAGATAGTTTTGTACCCATTCAAGGGCATTAAGCATATCGAACCGGCCCAACAGGACTAGCAGAAGACATGTACAAAGGTATCTCGAACGACAATGGAAGATCAGTACAGCGCAACCACGTTTTACTCTCTTCATCAAAGGGGAACGTGACTGCTACGATACTTCGACAGTAGATGCAAAGTCGCCACCACAACGATAGGCTACGTTGCATTTAATCCTAATGGATCTGAGAATTTGGATGCGTCAAAGTGTGAGACTTAGATAGTAAACTTTTTCAGTCTGTCGTTGCACACACTTATGTATAAAAAATAAATAAATAAATCATTTAGCTGTAGCACCCTTTCGGTGCTTGGCTGCCAGGCCACCAGAAGGAAGCATGAGGGCTGGGATACTGTCAGTCAGCCCTCTAACCACCGGTTCATCACTGTATGTATGGTACCAGTCTGTTGGAGTCTTTCATGATGCAAATGGAAATAGTTAATAAAATACATCGAATGCATTGAAAACGATTAGCCGATTTACTTGTTTTCACAGAAATGAAACAGACATTTATTACTACCCAAGTAGGAGAGTTATTAACCACCCGTCAATGATTTGAACGTGTTCGTGTCAGTTCAGTTTTCCCGATGTAAACAGTGTGCCAAGGTAAAGTTTCGTCCGTCAGGGAGGGGGGGGGGCACGGGAAGGACAGCCACGCACTGAGAGTGTTGTCGGTCTGCTAGCTACGAATCGCCTTACATCTCGAGATGGAACGGCTCAAGATGAAAACAACAGGTCTGATGTAGGACTGTAGTAGGCTGTGACAACGGCATCTGCCAGGGTCTTCGATCACTGGCGTCTCTTGTCCCTGGTCTCCATCCAAGGGGACGATAGTTGCCAGTGTGATATGAATCGACCGGCGATAAACCATTTGCGTTATACAAATGACTGCGCTAGGCAAACGGTCGCACTAAACTTGCGTGTGATCAGCTGTTCAAGACAAAACAGAACGATAGATTTTCGGTGTTCGTTATCGCTAGTGAAGTTTCAGATAAATGTTTTGCCAGATAATCAATGTGCAGGAAACGATACTAGTTGACGAATGGGTGGGACATACATAAATGGATGGCATAGTTGAATCTAGCTGGACCGTGTAGATAGCATTAATAGGACACACTTCTAAAGGGCTAATGCTTGAACCGGCAACGAAGTCCAACGCTCTTGACTACAAAAGTGGATCAGTTTTCTCTAGGGCCACTAAGGATAATGTTTTGTAGATCAACGTGTAAGAGGTGAGAAGAATCGTGAAAGATCGTAACAAAGAGATCGGCAAACAACAGACTGACCCACGAAAGTATACCGGTCAGAACTCTTTTGAACTTGCGACGGGCATTCCTCGGGAGAACAAGCACCTGATTGTTCGTCAGTATACAATTTGGCCAAAATATGTGTGAGTTTGGCGGTGGTCTTTCTAGATCCAAGTGACTAACGTTAAGTTGAGGCTTTCAAAGTGTGGTCTTTCCAGAGGAGATCAATGGTATGGAACACGAGATTGATTCATATCAGCCATAAGTAGACTACTGTTTATTTCATAGATGACTTGCTCATCAAAGCAATTTAATATCTGTTGGTCAGTTGAAAGCGAATCGAAGAAAACGGGACGTTGAATCAACCAGTCCTCATTTAGCAAAGCGAGGATTCGCACCGCATGAGTGTGAACGAACAGAAATCCCATTAGGTGGAAGTCAGTCGGGCGTTTACGGACTATTTATACAATGCTATTTCAACCAGATGTCACCTGATACATATGAACTGTTTGAAGAATTTTCGTTTGTCTTCTGGTTCAAACAACACTGACCTTGATAGGCTTTACATGGAACTTCTTGCGACTTGATGCATGCAGGTCATCTAGATATGGATCAAGGTCATAAATCCAAATTGAACCCTCATTGTCGCCACACAACACAGCGCCCAGATTTTGTCTCACTGAGACGTTAATGTAGATTTCGTCGGTCTTCTGCCACAATAGATGTCCACGCATTTCGATCGGTACGACACGCTGGAGGCCTGTGTAGAAAGAGGAAAGGAGAGAGGGTATGAACGGAATGCACTGAGAAATGTGATGAACAGGGTAAAATTGACCGGGGTGAATCAATGCATGTTACGGTCAGTAGGCTTCTGCAGAGGGGTCACCTCGCATATCAGTGGTGAATTAAAGAAGCATGGGGGCCTTCTCTGAAACCCGCTTGCTTTACTCAGCCAGTACTGAGTATTCTGCACACTAAAGATACGAGTAACAAAGCGTGGGGCAACGTCCCACATCCACCTATAATCTACTCAACTGATGGATCCAGTTGGTGCCGTGGTCTACATCACGTATCCGATACACTGGTTCTGAGAGTTTGGTGAAATAAGTTCTTTAAATCCAAAAACAACTCAGGAATACAGACCATCATGCCTTTATACATGACTGCCAACCGGGTACGTACATCGACTAAGGGAATACAGTAGCCTGAGAAGCTGCGCATTTTGACTATAACTGGAGCAGTTAATAAACAACGGTATTTCACGTGTGTCAAGAGCCAGAGAGCACACAAGAAGTAAACAGCCTGTCAGTACTGTCATATACATACTGCGTCTAGGAATATGCAAATTGACTTTTGCTCTTGGGCTCGCATTCAGCCGATCCCAATCGCGAGCAACCTAACTGTGATCGATTTAAGAAGTTGACATACTGTGAAAAACGCTTCACCGACAAATTTCCGCATTATAAACTGCTAAAAGCAAGAAATAAGCAGTGAATCGAAGGCGTTTTCCAGCTACTGCACGGTATATGACAAGTTGAAAACAAAAATTGATTGGAATGAGTGAACGAACCAACCGGAAAAACACTAACCTTTACGACGTTCGAGTACAGAGGCGAAATCGAACACCATGATTTCCCCGGATTCGACAACTTTGATCACTAATGCATTATCGCTCAGTTGGGAAAGCGCGTCAATGCATACTTCGTGATCAAAGTCCAACTTGAGTTCCATGTCCGGCTCCCGCTCTCGTTTTTCCAGCCGCAGATCGGTCACCTTCCAGGCAAACAGACCATCCTCACAGCCGGCAATTAAATAGGCATAGTGTGGTAAAAAGACCAAATTCAGCACTGGGTTCACATCCAGACGTGGACACCGTAAGCGCATCAGTAGCTGATATCGTGTCTTATAGTCTGGGACGGAGGGTATTCCAATGTCCCAAACCAGTACGGAAGCCTGCAAAAAGGTTCGAAGGAGGGTGTGAACGGAGGTACGACAACCAAATAAATGGTTAATATCTGAAATACTCAAGTCTTCTTATCCTCAAAGCTGCTCACTACCCTGAAATAACCACGTATTCTGATGCTCAGCCATGCTATCTACATACTATACAGTCTGCCTTATGATACATTTGTAGATGCTACATTACAGTTTATTCCTCAGTATCACTTAGTGCTCTATCGGCAGATGGCTGACGTGCACGCCACAAGAAGCGCGACAGCTTATTCAGCCGTGCCTGTATCCGAATAACCATGAATTAAGAGGTAAAAGTTTCGGCGAGAGCCAAGCGTCCTACGCCAATCAGAATTAAACAGTCCATATAATCTACGTCGTCACAGGGAGAGACAGTCGTCGTTCAGCTGTAGCACCCTTTCCAGCTGTCATGCTACCCGAAGAAAGTAGAGGGATGGGATACTGCTACGTTACCAGGGTCAGTCAAGAGGCAGAGGTTAGGTTCGAATTACGGACCTTCTAAACAGTAAATCTGCTCCAACTTTTAAACTACTTTGAGCTCCAGGGACGAGCATAGCAAGATGTAGACTTACTTTAGAGTCTCCGCTAAACAATATCGTGGGTTGTGTTTGGTGGAAGATCATTGCAGTGATATCTTCTGTGTGTCCCTTCATTTCCGCATAGCACACCAGTTGCTCCGGATGGAGCAAACGAATCTCGCGCATTCGACCGGCTGCAGCGAGGATGTTGGTTGCTTTGCCACATTCCACCTCGACTGTGGTCCAGGCGATGGTGTAGAACTCCTGCAGCATGGATGAGAAGTTAGGAAACCGATGATGAAATGAGGCACATAGATCAACTTTGTTAACAAAAGCCAGCTTCCACCACAGAGCATACCATTGTATTGACTTGTGGGCATAAATACTAACCTCTTCCATGTGTTTAAACCGTTTCATCACTTTACCCGTTTCGCAGTTTATCAGACAGACACATTCCCCACCGCATGTAGCAACCACATGCGTGGTTTCATCTGGTCGCTGCGGATTCGGCTCGAACAAGCAGCGCCACACTTTGGTCTCACTGTCGCCCGCATCGTTATCCTTGGCGTGACATCGGATGAAATGCAATGGGTCGTAGTCGATGGGTGTTGCGTCAGAACGAGGTCCCATACCCACGTTCACAGTACCGTACATATCGGTTGTACCATACGAGGATTCGGAACACAGATCACGCAAACTCCTGTGACGTAAAAGAGCAATGGTAAAGTCGGGATAGAAAAACAGTATACAACGTAAGAAACGAAGGCACATATCCCTGCATATGAAAAAATCCTCAACTACCCAGAGTATACAGGTTCACTAAAATACGATTACACAGTCACCCACTGAAAACCTACAACAAGGAAACTCCTATTCCGAGAACGGTCTTCCTAAATCAACTGCCGTACTGGCCACTTTAAGACGACAAAATGTCAAAAAAAAATCCAAACTACTGGTTCCAGGAACTGAATGACAATAGGTTTCAGAATCAAACCCAACCGAAATATATGGCATTATTACCGGAAGTGATTAGTCATTTCGGAGACGTGTTGCAAGTAAACGAAAAAACTGTCCAGCCCCCATGCTACCAGTAAAAAAGTATGATGGCTGAGGTCCTGCTAGAATGCCTCGAACTAGACAAACGCAATCGAGGAAGCTGGGCTGGAGTAAATCCAGCAGTTATCACCCTATCGTTGTTTCGTCCCAACTTCATTGTGGTGGCTGGGGTGAGGCAGATAGATGTTAGTCTCATGGCTTGAGCCAACCTGTTTTAGACATACAGCAATCTGCGCACATATTGGCGGTCAAGGTACGATATCTGTCCACTAAGAATTACCGTATTTGGATGTTAGTAAACTAAACGTTCGTACTGATACAACCAGCGAAGACGTTAACATCACTTTGGTTAGGCCTGGCTCCGACGGTGCCTACAAGCTATCACCCTATCAATAGCTCGGAAACGGGAAATCCTGTAACAAAGCTAAAGGTCAGCCTGTCGTGGAGGGCAATGAAAGGCCCGTTACAAGTCTTACTGGTTAATCTCGATGAATCCATCCAGTCAGTTGCATCCCCCAACAGCATTCGACTGCCAAAGGAGACCCAGTAATACCTAACAGGAACTAATGAAGATAAGACAAGAGTGACGCAGTGGCAGTGGTTGCAAGAAACTGCGACAAGTTATCACCGTACTTGTATTGATTTTGAGGACAGTCGCCTTCTTTTCGCGGGGCAAATCTTGAATGTTCGTCAATCAACAGTGATCAGCCTAGTGGGTGTCTGCGTACAGGTGGAACTGGTAAAACGATATCCAAAAAACTGTTCGGCGTAAACGTACACTCACTGGCCTACTGAGGTCCCTTAGCCAAACAACGAGCATCAAACACAGAACGTTTACTAAACGCCCAGTATCAGCAGACGGGGTTTCAGTCGCACCAAGTACTTGAGTCTTAGATGCAGTACTTCTGCGTTGAGGCAACTCGAGGCGGACATTCTTAGGAAGTATTCCCGGTGCTTTGGAAACTTTTGCAATGGGGATACTCCAAACGAGAAACAGCCCAGTTACAGACAGTGGTCTAATAGCATTGAGACACTAAAAACTGAACTGTTCAGCTGTAACACCCTTTCGGTGCCTTGCTACCATGCCACCCGAGGGAAGCACGAGGGCTGGAATACTGCCAGGTTGCTTAAGCCTAGACAGGGGGAGTCGAGAGGCAGAGGTTGGGTTGGAACCACGGACCTTCCGATCGGTAAATTCGCGCTCTAACCACTTGAGCCCATCTCGTCCCGTTGAGACACTAGGGGCCCTTTGTGTGTTTTTGCTACCCTTTGAATTTCGACATCGACTCTTTTGATGACCACCATGAAGTTCAGCCTCTGTTGCTGAGACCTTATCCAAGTTAAGTCAGTGTTCGTTCCTTATGTCAAGTCAAGTATACTTAGCCCCGAGTCACACCATATACCATTTCAAACTACATTGCTAGTTTCGATCAGCTCTGGGACGTCACACTGGCAGCACTGGAAGACCCAGATAAGACCCAATCGGTAGGCTTCAGTACGAACGAGCCATTACCACTTGTCATGAGTAGGAGCAGATTAAAAGCACGTAATTGCCTGCTCCGTTCATTGAAGAAAGCAAGGGGCGAATGCGTATCGGGCAAATGGTGGAAAACTCGAGAAAGGTCAGTGATTAAGGGCAACGGGAAGGTCCGCGGTTCGAACCGAACCCCGACATCTCGAGTGCACCTGATTAGGGTTAGGTGACCTGACACTATTTCAGCCCACGCAGTTCCTTCCGGTGTTACCGAAAGGTGTTACAGCTGAACAACCGCTGAATACTCACTGATTAATCCTTGGTAGTCAGATTACAAACACCTTTCGGCACAGTTAAAATGATGTTTGAAAAACAATATTTTAATAGGCTAGCTAGGAAACTGTTACCGCCAAAATGACCGAAACTCATAGGTGGTCGTCAACGATTATCAGCCAGGAGATCATGCTCTTTCAAATGTAAATTTACCGTCGTATTTGATAAATCATGGTTAGACATGTAGTTAGACAGCATTAGTTAAACTGTGCCGCATTCCTACTGTGCAAGCTCGTTGTTCTCCGAGGTTCACTTGTTCCCCAGTATAATAGCAACAACAGCTTGCACATATTCCCTCGTTTCGCGAGACAAGGTGGAATGGGACCAATCAAAGGACCCAGTAAGTCATTGTCACTTTTGCGTCTCTTGGACCTCGTACTGTTTGGAGCTGTAACCGAAGCGAACAGCAATCAGGCCATGAGTAAACACCAATGGTCATGGTGTTTGACAGGATTTGTAACCGCAGCATTCCCTAACCCTAGTAGCATTGGATGATAACTCGGACGGATAACTGGTGAGTTCTTTCTGTCATTTGAGGCAGAAATTCTGGTAACAGGTTAGGGGATCGGCTCAAGACATTCAACATGTGCAATCCACAGATGATGGTACAAACTTCAACCAGAGCGGAACACGAAACAAGCAACTTCAAACAGATTTGCAGGTGCCACAAGGAAATGTTGATGACTGGCGGAACTATGTGAGATGCTTCATCCACCAGCCGAGAGACACTGACAATCCTGAGGAAGCAAATCTCTTACTGGATCGTGAACCTTGTTTAGAGATGAAACGAGGAAGGGAATACTTGCATCATGTTGTTCCGGCAGTTTTCAAGGAAAACTGACACCAATGAACACAGACTAAGGGAAAAACCTATGAGGTCGCAAGTGTAAGACAACTCAGCGTTGAATAGGAAGCAAATCCGAGACGTTTGGATCAAAAGATGCCGATTCTGCACTTGCTCAGTAATAGAGGAAGTTGAAGTTTCCTTGTTATTGGATAGTTGCAGTTTACACTCTGGTCGACACTTGATATTTAAAGTTGCTATTTACTGGGATCTGAGTAAATTTTTAACTCCGGTATCGCGTGCCCCAGGAACGATCAGGATAGCGTACACGAAATGACAAAAAAAGCAATTCTCCCAAAACCCTTCTCTACTTTAGGCTTCATCACTCAATTAGATTATGTTACTCCCGAGTACAAATTTTGAACACGTTCCCTTGCAAGTACTATGGTACGGATGTGCCAGAAAATAGATTTTTGTTTCTGTGGTGCAAAAGGATTCAGCTTCTGCCCTGAACTACGCGGTTCTCTACGAATCCAGTAAACAACACTTCGAAATAGGGGCGCTCTGATGGTGCTCGAGGACGTTTACTATAAGAGAGGAAGGTCGTACAGAAATCGGAGAAACATACGAGTAAGCCCATCCGCAGGCAGAAAAGACAAAGAGCTCTGAAGCTCGGACTACCACCACACACAGTGGCACTTTACACGTAAATCCATGTGCACCCTAGACCTTTTGGCAAGAGAAGTCAGCCAAGAGAGATTAATTATTACCCACCTATGACCACCCATTGTTTTGCGCTTTTTCGGTCGAGGTGGGAGATTGGTTCCACTCCCTTGATGCTGAATATCGGGCATGTCGTAGTCATTCTTCAGATGGCGACTCTTCGAGGCCATAGTTCCGGATTTTTTCCCGCCCTCAGTATTAACCTCACCAAGTGGGACCATACCGGAAGAGGGTGAACAGGGCCATGACGCATCTACCTTCCGTGGCCGGTTAACTCCCTGACGTCTGGAATGAAACAGTCAAAGTAAGAATAATATTGACTTACTATATGTTATGATTGACGATAGTTTAACAAGCATGAAGAATTAAAAACCGAACAAAGATTATAGCGCCTATGCTCTGAAATACAGGGATATGAGTGCCCAGCGCACACAAACTCAGCTGGACACTGGGAGTACAGCAAGAATTCGGGGAAAGAGCCCAAGGTGGAGTCAACAAAACCCTCTTAAAACAAACGAATGCATTATTTACCCAATTCCCAAACCGTACTACGCTGATCACGTAAACCTCAATCTAATTGGGACGAACTAATGGTCCTGGTAACTGGTCTATGTGACGTAATGTCAATCGCATTTAGCCAAAATTTACACTACTGCATAGAAAAACGGAACTTTCCCAAAAAAATACTTAACATGGATCATATCACAGTCACACATTGAGCGTGTGCTGGTCGCACTCAGACACGAACAAAGATTGTCGACCTGCCCCCAGTGTAGGTGGCTGTGAAAAGCCGGAAAATAGTCGGCCGGATGCATTTTCCCCGTAAAACAAATTCGTTCGGGTTGCGTTGTAGGTCAGCTTATTCTATATGAATCCGCAGCAGTCAACGGAAAGGAATATGGTCACACGTGGATCTTTCAGATGGGTGCACTTAATCTATCACTAAACGTTGGCACCAAATCGAATTGTAAATGGGTGGTGTGTAGGATTTCGTGTTCAATTAGAACATAAGGTTGATCGAAACTCGGGAACTACGGCTACCTAGTGAATCCCAAGTGAAACCGGTCGAGTGCTTCAGAAAGATTTTCGGCGATGAACGAATATTTTTCAAACGGATAATTCGCTTTTAATGCTGATATACTGGACCGCGAAATCGTCCCTTTACTTTATACACATTACATGGATGGTGAAAATGGAACAGTTAAGACGAAATACACTACTGTGCATGATGATCCAAAACAGTTTATAGTCCTCCAGGACGGAGATCCCTCTCTTTTAGATAAAGCACAGCGCTCTTGTCGGACACAGCTCAGTGCGATTCACCCGAAGAAGGGCCAACAGCCTTTTTTTCCGCAGTCTGTCTGCACAAAAACAATAAAAGCTGATGCGGTCGGTGGGAACAATCAGCGGATTTGACTGACTACTATTCAGAAGTGGTCAGAGGTGACCACGTTGACAAATGTGGGACAAGTTAGGAGATTTAAGTTCGGCGAAAACGTCGTTCCTCAGGTAGGGACATGAAACTTGACGTTTTCCACAGTTCCGGATACCACGAACATATTCTTTCCTGCAGAGAAACGTTTTGATACGAACTTTGGGAGGTGAGTCAGAGCTCGTTGTGTCGTTCTGAACGACAACGCCTTGCCTAAGCCCCAAAAAGCTAAATATCGGTTTTCGACCAGTTTTTGTTCGAAGGGGACATGGAATAATTGTAAGGTTTACCGTGGGTACAAAAGCCTCACACTCCAGTCTGCCCTTGCAGACTACGAGAGGTGGCGGTAACCAAAATGCGTGTTTTGATTACAGAGCAGATTCAACGGCAACGAATAGTTTAGACCAACATAGTTTGTTGATACACACCACATCCACTGCAGGGAGTGAAGGTCCGTGTGGGCAGTGCTTTGCATGATAATGTTAAGTGACGAAAAATGCACAGGAAAAATGCACACACACACTGCAGATCAAACCAGGTGAAGCCCAATTCCGGTCCCCGATGTTATCGCGGTGCACCCTAATAAGGAGCGACCGCTCAGCTTTTTTTACTTTGTAGTTCACAACTGATTTGCAAACATAAACGTAAGGATGGACGTACTTTTTCGGTGTCGTCTTCTGGCCAAGAGTATCTTTCACAGCTTTCTTGTAGATCTCAGAGGCCATATACCCCTTCACATAGTCTTTGTTCCTTAATTCGCCGGGGAGGAATTCCGCCACGGGTCGCCCGCTAACTCCACGAGGACGAACCACAGTCATGACAATAGAGCGACCTTGTCGAAGAGACCGCGCCAAATGGAACTGATTAGACTGACCTCCTGTCTGCATTGTTCCGCTTAAAAGTCCGTTGGTCTGGTAGCCTGCTGGGGCAACGAGGACTTGCTGTTGGTGCAGCCGGCCCATGGCATCCATAACGAGTGTCGTTTGGACCTGCCCCGTCGCGCCGGCGAGGAGAGCTGGGTCTGGGAGGTTGGAGCCCAAAATCTCATCGGTCGCCTCAAAAAGAGCACGTTCATCTGAAAAAAATTCAGCGCGTATGCAGCGAAACCAGTAATGATTTACACCCATATACACGGTGCGGTATCTGTGTTATCGAAAGTTAACAGGGATATACTGAACACAGCAGAAAATAGACATGGTCTACTTATTCCTAGCTCACCATGGCTTGATAGATGAAAGGGAGAGACTCACTTGCAGCTCGTGCCTCAGCCTCACGCTCCTCTTCATCATCATCCAAATTGTCCTCCGTTTCAATGTCCACAACCATCGAGGCAGGCCGTTGACTGAGAGCAGGTGCAGAACGAGGGGATGTTTCATAGTCCGAAACAGCGGGCTCCGCGAGCAGATCTTCAGTGGCGAACTCAGTAGGATCGGTTGTTGCAGAGTGTGCCGTTAATATCCGGTCGCGTTTACTCCCCACACTGGCCACAGAGGTCATCAGCTCGGCGTCACTAGCATCGAACAGCTTGGATCGAAGGTAGTTGTCAACAAACTGAAAAAGCTGTTCCAAAGAAGAACAGACGAAGGTGTGTGTTATATGATTTTTGACTGAACACATGCGAACAAAGAATAACCTGATTAATAGGTGAACGTTAAACGAAAAAGAGGTTGAGGCACCAGCCACACATAGGGAGATTCATGATTCGAAACATTCTCCAGCATCTCTCTAATTCCCTTCTAAGCCTGAGCTGTCCGGCACCCATCGTACTTCCTACGGTTCCCATGGCAGCTACGCATCGAGTGAATGGGATGAGTAAATGAGCATCTAAACCGATAATGATTGTGCAGCTTGGGACGAAAATCGTAAAATTTCGGAGCACAGCACTTGACGCTTCATGCACATGAACAGGAATGAGTCGTGGGGTCAAAATGGTCGCATACTAGGGGAAGCTTATTATGAAAGGCCCTTTACACTTTGGTACGTTAGATTACTCTCCAAGTGCGTACCAGCTAACTGGGATATCAGCTTATTGTTTTGTTTTGGGGTTTCATGTGTGTCGCTTACGGAGATTGGGAAAACCATGGAAAACGACTCGCTCTGGCAATACAGAACAGTTTACCAAGTCTGTAAAATACCTGAGGGGGTAGAAACCGAGAGTTTCATCGTTTTAGAGATTACAGTGTTCCGTTGCATTTTAGGCTGACACACAAAGTAGTGGAAAAACTGGCACTATAGTAGCCCTCATGAGGCAGCTAAACACCGAAGGGGTGTTATAACTGGTGGATTATTGCAGGGGAGATTAAGATATTGGTTTCCCATATATTCTGATATGGAGCCTGACAGAGTGCAATGGGACGATATAATCTGAATGACCAGACCGATTCGTTTCAGGTGGGATGAACCTGACAAGAACAGCTGAGGTCCGTGACGCCTCGCCCGGTCTCGATAGCCAGTACGTGGATGCGATTGGCCTAGAGTTCGACGACTGAGATGGTGGCTGTCTTCACCTGTAGCAATCTTCTGAAGATATTTAGCATAATCATCAACCCCATATGTTCTAGTGTCGTAGTAACAAATACACGAAGCCGAAAGTTTCATTACTGTCATACGGTCACCTCAGGGGTCAGGGTGCCAGACTGCCTGCTTTCCACGTGTTTAATGACGCGTCAGAATAACCTGGTATGTTCTAAGCAGCATCGAACGGAAGAATCAAACGATCCTGAGTAAGGTTGATGATGAAATGTGCCCAGAAAATGTTGTACTTACCATCAAATCCTTATACTTGTTCAGACTTTCATCAACAAGTAGATTGCGCTCCCTCAAGTGTTGGACAATGTGTTCGATAAGCTGCATTCGCTCGGCGCGGTTTTGAACCGAGTGATAGTGGTCTGCAAAGTCAGCTTCCCATTTTGAGCGAACCTGAAAGTCAAGCAAGGTGATGACCATCCACTTATGGATTAGAAATGCATCACTGAATTTGCCGTTCAAGATTAGTGAATTTTCTGCCGTTTGCATAACAGTTCAGTCTAGTTGTTCTGGTCCGGCTAGCTGTTGTGGTGTGTACAAAGTGTGCCACAATATTAGTATCCGTACTGGAAGCAATCTGGAAATGAAACAGCTTCTGGATACACCATCAAGATCTGACGCGAAGGGGACGATGAATCCGTTTACCGTAAAGCGTACAATAATCAGAGCACGTGTTTAAGGTGCAGTGATTCCATCCACCGGTCAAACTAGGTTAATTGGTGTTATTGCAGCCCTTAGCTGTGTGCGGTTACTAAATTTACCTGTTGGCCCGTGCTCAAAAGTTTGTCTTCCAGCCTGCTCTATTGTGGACAGACCGTCCTCGTAAGGCCAATTAGCTGAGTACCCGAGGGGTAGTCCAGTAGTGGACTTCTTCTAAGAAAGAACGACATCTGGTCTCCCCAGAAGATCAGCTGAAAAGTAATTTGATTGTGCACTGGCAAACCATCTAACTTAGAAAAGAGGTTGAACTCCTTCGGATACACACCATTCATGTTTAAACAATCTACCTTCAGTTCGGATTCACCTGCAATACCCTTTCGGCGTCCAGCTAACATGCCTCCCAAAGGAAGCACGAGGGCCGAATTACTGCCAGGTTGCCCAAGCCTAAACAGAAGCAGTCGGGATGCAGAGGTCGGGTTCGAAACACGGATTTCCCGGTCAGTAACTTCGCGCATCAAGCCAACTCGAGCTCAGTCCGGGTGTGATTAGCTCTTTCACGAAAAACTTGCTATCTCTTTAATCAGTACGGGCTAATTGTGTTCCAAATTAAATGATGGAACGAGCTTGATGGCTGGCCATATGAGCACTCAAACTATGCCCGTCCGCATTCGAGGAGCGGCCTTAGAGTTCGGTCTATATCTGACCAAAAAACACTACTCACGTGTGGCTCCACAATGGCCCTGGCTTCTTGTATGATACGAACGGTGAAGTCTGTGCAGAGTTCTTCAAAGTATTGTCCATTGATCAACTTTAGCTTCGGACAAAAGTAGGCTAACATTTGAGGATTGAGCAACTGAAAAAAGGTTAAGAAAGAAGGCGATCGCGATGAAACGTCCAAAGAGAGGATAAACCATCAATTGGGTTATTAAAAAAACCGAGTGCTAGGCGAATTTTAAAAAAAAACGGATGAAACCGATGACTCGAAACCGAGTGCTAGCGAATTTTAAAAAAAAACGGATGAAACCGATGACTCGAAATCAGTGCAGTCGCCCTATGAGAGAACATCCTAGGAGATCCTTGATGAGAGGAAACAACTCTCGCACAGAGGACACACACCTCTCTCAGAAACATTTGAACAAGCTTTTAGGCACAAAATTTATTTACGAGAAACCAAATGAGTGGTGCTGACGGTCACTAAACAGACCTTCTATGTTGACGAAAAAGAGGACTGATCAGTTACGATAGGGTTCTCCAACCTAAAGCTGCACGGACGTATTCGGCCCATCGTTACTTAATATAAGGCTGAATTAATTTTTTGCTTTCACAAAGCAAAAAAACACTGCGGATTTGAGTTCGAAGATAAAACATTTGAAGTGAAATGACGGGACGAGAAATCAATCAAATCATCCACAATTTGTTACACGTTTGGATTTCTGGAAACTGGTTGAACTGGTGAACCTTTATGCATACTGATAGTGATATAGTTCCGAACCATGGGAAAAAACTTTGCACTATACCTTGAAGAGATTCAACTCCAGGGTGAGGCTTTTGATGGCAGAAGAGACCACGTGTAATGTGAGAGGATGTCGAAGAAGAAATTATCTGCTATTGGGAACTTTCTTATGTACCGGATCGTACATTTACAAAACGACCTCACACGAATATGCGCCTCACGGGAATCTTTTGAATATTGTTTTTACTAAAAAAACTGTTGTTCACCAAAGCCCACGGGTAGGGCTATCTATAGTTACGGGCGTTTGTCAAAGGATATCCTGTCCAAGTATCAGACAGTCGCACTGCTGATCACCAACTCATGACCAAATTATTTACTGTTCAGCTAACCTTAGAGATTAGGGAGGTATGTGGGGAAGGTGAGTTCCGTACACTGCTTCTGTTCTATCACACTGACTTCACTTGCAGGATCAAACCCTGCAATTGGAATCCATGTCAAGAGAAGGGGTCGAATTTCCGTGAATCACCTCAGAAGATTTCAGTTGGGTGGTTCAGTCCTTGTGAAAAACACTGATGACCGAGACAGAAGTGTCGTGTTTCTCAGAGAAAAAATAGAAAGACGAGCAACTCCTCCGACCTCGAATGGTTGTTTTGAAGAGCAGTTTTGAGGAGTTGAAGATAAAACGATCATATTTGACATTTGTACGTGATCATGAGAAGACTTTGAAGAAAACTGTCTGTAGGTAAAGAACAACCGAAAGTTGAAAATCCTGGACGGTCAGAAATTCCGGAACAAAACTGCCCGGGGGGTTGGGATAAAAAGATACTTAAGCGTCACAGAATCCATTGAGATGGGACTTTGAGGAGATACTTTGGTTCTCAATCAAATAAGAAAAGCGGGAAACCTTTGTTAATTTTACCGATATTTACCGGGAAAATCTTCTACAGAGCTGAAAAATTCGCCTGTAATGCGACAGTCAAATCAGTGACCTGTGTCCACAAACAATCTCACAGATGAAATACGATGAGTCACAGCAAATAGAGTAATGACTAGTTAAAACAACTTTGGTGAAACAGCACTACCACACGGGTTCTATAATCTGAATATGTGCTACAAGAAAAGGCTTAAATCCACCTTGATAGCCTATGTTGCTTGCGTTGCTGCAGGGAAGTTTGCCTTTGATAGCTGGTGCGTAAATATAATGAACTTCGTTCGAAGTAAAATGTATCGGTAAGATAATATCGTTCAGCCACAACATCTTTCTGTCCCATAGCTTCCATACAACCTGAAGGAAGCCCCAGAGCTGAGATAGTGACACAGGTTACCCAAGCCTCGACACGAGCAGTCGACATGCAGTGGTTGGGTTCGAATCTCGGACCTTCCCGTCAGTAAGTTCGAACCTTGACCACTGATCCAACATAACATGTACGTCAATTCTTCATCCGAAGAGAAAGGACAGTATAGCTAGTTGGATGGGAAGAGGTGTACGTACCTGCAACCACCCGAAAACCAGGAACTTATTTCACAAGAACAACGGGAGGTTGACAGAAACGGAAGCCGTTACCACAAACGGGAGACCGCCAACGGGCGGTTTTACTTTAAACAGATCCAAGGAGCCCTGCCAAAGTGCCAAACAATATAAACGTATGGTTTCCACACTTTCTGAGGTAGCCAATGGACGGGACCGTCAGAACCAACCATCGAGGAAATTGGCGCAGTTTCATTTTAGGGTTTCATTTTAGGGAGGTACCAGTATTAGACTCCCATGCCCACGAAAAATGTAATTAAACCACAGAGGCAATCGGCATCTTCTGAATATGTTACGTACTAAGTAAGAGAGTGAACAACTTGCCGAAAATCTACTGTTTAGATACTCATGTTGGACGGCCAAGGGTTTAGGATGGTTGGACCTTGGTCATATAAGCACGGTTGGGTAGCATTGTACGTTTCATCTACAGTGAGTTAAGCGGTTTCAACCAATCCCTCTCAATATAGTCTTAAATAACTGTAAATACGAATAAACCGGAGTGTGGAAATTTCGTCTACCGAGAGGATCGCATGATATTTCATAGTGAACATTATTGCAAAGTTTGCTCAATATCAAGAACAACTTGACACCCATACGTACTAAAGGCAACGTATTACAGGTAAAACATGTAGAGGGTCTTCGCATAAAGACCATTATCACGAACTGAGGACGGAAAATAAGGGGACACAGTGCGAAATACTGAACGTTTCAACTAGGTGAAAACTTCAGCGCCCCATATATTTCACAATCGCAGCGAGCCAGAATCCTCACCTGTTTCAGTTTGTCATCCATCGTCAAGCGTCTCAATTGGGGGAACTGTTCAACCAAAGGGAGATGGATAAACCTATTGCCGGTCAAGCCGAGCCTTTGCAAACGAGGCAGATGAAGTCGCCTTGGGAATACCCGCAGCGCGTTTTCTGACAAGTCCAGCTCCAACAAATTCACACATCGAGCCAAGTGTGTGGCATTTATACTCGTGTATCCGCATGCGGGAACTGCAAGAATCCGCACACGTTCAAGGCACGAGGCTCGTGTTACCCGTAATATTTCTGGTTCATCAAGCGGGCGATCGTCTTCTTCCACAGACAATGACAATGGGCAGTTAGCTACAAACAGAGTAAGCATACTACGGTAGAGGAAACCGACACACTGGAATAGAGAGCCACGATAACACAAAGACATATTCACTCGGAGAATAAGGGCTGCACGTTGATAAGGATCGTTCCCCTACCATCTTGCACAGATGTCCACATTGAATACATGTATCCAATCCATCGCTTTTCTCAGGGTAAACTAATTTTGGGATTACCACTGATGTCATCATTCAGTGACGGTTGTGTGGAGGACGAGTTATACAGGGATTCATACAGTGCAAAGAATGGACTTAGTGCAAGGATTTTTCTTAGAGGGCTAAAGATAGCCGGTCAGACTGAACGGTCCGGTATTATTTTATTTAAAGTGTGTATACATGTTTACGAGACTAGCTACGAAACCGGTAGACTGCTCATTGAAATCGATACAAAGTTCAGTTTACTGCACTGGTCACCAAGTTAGACATTTGTAGGGTGTTTAAATTTCTAGGGCTACTACAATTATCCGAGATGCAGATGGCAATTTATTATTATATTATGATATATATATATATATATATATATATATATATCTATATCTCAAAATATCGCGCTCTATCGCATTTTTTGT